GAGAGAGAGAGAGAGAGAGAGAGAGAGAGGCTGAATGGCAATATTAAAAAATGGGTTTAATTGCGGCCGCAATCTATTTCGCAGTTGGAATGATTTTTTTTAATTTATGTAGCGTTTTCCTTGAAATATCACAATAAAATCTACGAGTACTCCAATTTTTATGTTTTTTCACTGAGCGCAAAAACTCACTGAATTTTGAGTACTTTTTTAGTTGGCCCAGGCATGGCTGAGTGGCAAAAATGGAAAATGTGCCGAATCGGCACATTTCTCGGTCTAAATGATTTTTTTTAAATGTTCTAATTTTTTTTTTTGAAAGAACACGACCTCATTTATGGATTCTCAAAATTTTAGATTTTTTTGTGGGTTCCTCCGAGCAAAAAAAATCGCCGAAGGTGGTTCTTGTCACTTCTTGCAAAACGCCTGTTTCGTTTAGCCTGATCTCCCTGTTTTGAAAAGTCGGGCCTCAACGCCTGGGCCTGAGGGCCCTTTTGCAGTTCACATGCCCTCACTTTGTTTTGGGGTCCGGTTTCACCAGTGGACCCGTCCAACGCCCCCCACTTCTTTTTGGGGTCCACTTCCACCTGAGGACCGGTCCTTCCTTTTTCCAAAAGTCCCGGTTTTACCAGAGCTAGCTGTAGGTAGTCCGCAATTTTGGCAAGGACCGGTTTCCCAAATTCTTTTGCCCCCTAAGAACCCACATTGCGTCCTGGTCGCTTGCCGCCAAAAATGCGACACCTTGACACAGACGCCAAACCCCAGTAGACCGCAGCCTTAGGGCTGCGAATTGGAGCCCATCCAATCCATAGGACTCAGTTGGTACACGCGTGACCAGTTGAAGTACAGACCCGAGTTTGAATCCCATGATAATCAGATGAGCAAAAGACCGAGGAGCCCCAGGTCTCCCACACGTTCGGCCGTGCACAACAAAGATTATGACCCCGTTCGGTCCATGTTCCCCTCGTTACTGGTAGGGTAATAGTCCTGAGTGTTGGTCACACTAAGGTAGGTTAGTAGGGATAGGGGATGATCTAGGAGTATTGACACGAGGATGGATGGGGGGCAGCCTCGTCTCCTTGGGGCAACCAATATGTGTCAAGTAACAAGCCTCACAAAGGGATGTAAATATAGAAACAAAATAAGTCAGGGCATACTTGCACTAACACTTTCCTAAATGTATACTCTGTAATTATGGCCACAACTGGGTGATTCTGATCGTAATCCCGTCTAGAGTTTTGTAGAGAGAGCCCTAGTGTTCGCATCCCGTCAGGGTTGCGTTTTCCCCCTCTGAGGCATTTCAACGTCAATCAAATTTCAACGTCGGTGGTTGTCGGGAAGGTGGGCATTTTGAGGTTTTGGGGCCCTGCAAGGACCAGGACCGCGTAGGACCGGTAGCTGCCCATAGGAGGCCGAGGAAGCCTTTTTCGAAATTGAAACGGTGCGGGTGCACTTTTCTCGAATAGCAGACTACCTCGAATAGAAATCGTACACGTTGTATTCAAATACAACGTGTACCCTTTCTATTTGGATTTCGAAAAGAAAAAACTCCTTTATTCCAATACAATTGCTATTTTTTTTTTTGAGGTCAGTGCCTTCCCTTGTGCTCCCGGGCACCGACATGCTGCATGTTGCAGGTCTCTCTCTCTCTCTCTCTCTCTCTCTCTCTCTCTCTCTCTCTCTCTCTCTCTCTCTCT